GACCAATTAGCCATCACCAGCCGTAACGTTATGCAAATCTGTGATTCCCAAGCCATAGTCTTATGCAAATCATGCCGTGTGGCGTAATTGTCTGCTGACCAATCAGTGGCTGTACTTTCAAAAAGCCAACGGCCACTTTCAACCATCTGTCGATGACCGTTACGACTAAAAATAAACTTCGCTAGGTCTTACTTTCAGAGGGAGGTCTTATATTTCGCAATTCAGCAAAATCTGTGCTAGGTCTTATTTTCTGCGGATGTCTTATTTTCGGGGAAACACGGTATTCTTAGTATCTTGTATTGGCTAAAAAAGAATAGCGATAGCGATGTAAACTCGTAATGTACATTTAAAAGTTGGTCGTTTCATGCTGGACATGATATCGAAAAGTGAAGAACTTCACTCGATATTTTTAAAAAAAGAATTTTGATGATTTTTACTGTGACCATGGAACAGGTGCTCTGATCCATAAGCGTTTGATTCGCTGTTTTTATAAATTTTTAACTATGCATTCTTGTAAAATTTTGTATAACAAAAAATAAAGTCTCTATTTTGAGAATAACAAAAAATTACTGTTTTGGAGAATTATATATATATTTTTCTTTTACTGGGTTTTCACAACAGGAAACAATCCCCCCGGAATATTTTTTATAATAAAAATAAAATTGTATATAGGGAAATTTTTTTTTCCAGATAACAAAGATGTTAAAATCTAACTATCAGCAGTTAAATCTATACAGTATAAGTGACTATACATTTTAGATGTTTCTTTTTATAAAGTTTGTTTTCAATAGAAAAATCTTAAACAGCTATTTATTACAGCAGCACATGGCGTAAAGTAAATGCCCGGACTGTTATTAACTTTACGCGTATATTTAATATTGGATTTTTTTTCAATAATGTTTACGTGTTTAATGTAAATTTTAGTATACAATTTTCATTACAAATAATCGTTTTGTCTATCTTTTCAATCGTATGTATTGTCATTCGCCTCTAGGGGACCAAAAATCGAGTTCGGAAGCAACTCAATTTTTTTTTATGGGCAATAAAAGTTGCACAAAAGATATACTTTTCAACTAATAATATAATATTGACCCGTTTATTCTGCAATTTACCACTCTAAACATGAGCTTCATAATCAGGACAATTAAAATACGTCTCGAAAAGAACCAATAGACGCGTACAGTAAAAGGAAGTTTAAATATTACACTACTCAAGCAACTTTATCTTCATGTAATAAATTTAAAAATTAACGATAAAAAATAAATAAAATGAATCTTTGTAAAATGCTAATTTTTTCACGACATTAATTTAAGTAAAGTTTTAACGCTTTTGTCACAAACCTTTATTTAATCACAGCATCGAAAACTAGACAACAGTATTGTTTAAAACGTGTACAGTATATAGTTATGAAAATTAAACAGCAAATGCCCTACGAGTATTGATATCAATATTCACGAGCGCCGCTAGCTGTTTAACGCCCGTGTGCAATTCCGATTATACCACCCCCTGTTTAACTACGACTACCTACGCCGAGCTTGCCAGAAAGGCTCTTTAGTGTTCTCATAAGAGTGGGGGAAAAAAAAGAAATACTTTACAAAGAAAAACTATTTATTATGATTAAGTTATTTTTGTGTACTTAAGAGTAAATTCATATAAATATTTATGTACCGAAATTGAACTCTTCTTGCCTTTATGTTTGCGAAATCTGCTATTAATTTTCTTGTATCCAAGCTGGCTAAGATTTCACGTTCAATTGAAACTATAGCTAAATTACTTAATCTTTGCTGGTGCATTGTTGATCGTAAATAGTTTTTTTTTTATAATTTTTAACTTTGAAAAGGACCTTTCACCAAATGCAACTGAAACCGGCAATGTAAGTAATATTCTTAGTTCTATTGCTGTGTTCGGAAATGTTGAAAGTAGATCATTAGTAAAAAGATATTGTAATAGAGTTTGTGGATCATTAGACTGGTTCTGGAAAATGCAACTTTGAAGTAGTATATAAAAAAACTAAAAAAACAGATCGAATCTTTATCTTATTTCAAGTATTTTGCGCTATAATCAGGCAAGGAAATGTTAAAATTTAGTAACATTTAGCATAAAAATTTGTTAATTCTTACTAAAAATGAAATAATTTGTCTACCGAAAATTCATACTTGCGATTGCAAATAATAAAACTTGAACCATAAATAGACAGCGTATGGGTAAATTTTAGTGTTTTTAAATAACTGAAATATAGAGATAGGTTTATTTTTAATGAAAAGGAAACACTTTACAAAATTCAAGTGTCTTCAATGATCTTTTAAACCAGATTACGTGTCTACGACTTATCAACTGCAGCTTACAGAAAAATAAGAACCTGAACTTTTACCTTTATTTCAGAAGTCATCCGAATACGTTTACTTCTCGTCAAGAAAATCATCGTTTTCGAATGAGTTAATTAATATAAAGATGGGCAAACGCTTCATAATAACAGAGGTGACAGAAGAAAACTCTTCTCTGAAAGCCTGAATTGAAGTATCGCCGCATTTGTCGCACACACAATGAAAAATATAGACGAAACATTTCTTCTGTGTCATTTAGGATTTCAAACGCTTTAACTTTTCAAATTTTTCCATGTCAACTTTTCAAATTTTTCAATTGTCCAACTTTTCCATGTCATGTGTGCTTTCCTTGCCTATTAAAACTTTATTTGTTTCATCTGTGTCATTAATTACAAACGTAACAGTCATTGCTAGTCTTTTCGCAAATTATCATCAATGATAGGGTTGTACAAAAGACGTTTTGCGATTTATTCGAAAATTTCTTCGAAATTTAAATGAAATGAAACATTTCAAAATCGAGTTTGAATCATTTGGTCTATGAACACACCGAACTTGTGTATCAAATTGAATAATTTTACATCATTGATGAATACATCATTCAAATTACTTAAGGCTACAATATTTACAGTAGAGCCTCGATTATCCGACTCAATTGGGGACTGGGGTTGGTCGGATAATTGAAAAGTCGGATAACCGAAAAGTATGAAAAAATCCATTACAGTAGAGCCTCGATTATCCGACCCAATTGGGGACTGGGGTTGGTCGGATAATTGAAAAGTCGGATAACCGAAAAGTATGAAAAAATCCATTATTAGTGTAGTATATTATTATATGCCATGTAATTAGTATATTAGTATATCGCTATTAACCTACTTCGCGTTGAATTTTCATCCATGTTGAGCCTAACAAAAATTTTTATTTTTACATACAGATGTAATTAACAGAAGGATGCATATCTTTTGCATCAAAGTATATACGGCCCGCTGTCACTATGCTTCGCCAATCGCGTTAATTCTTGACAGTTGTAGCGGACAGACAAGAGCGTCATGGCATTACATTTAGTGGAGCACTCCCTCTGACTTGTAGCAATAAATGCTACTGGCTTGAGGTACTCCTCTTTTAATTAACCCTGCTTCGCATATGCTTTGCATTTAGTTAAGATTACATAGTCGTGGTCGTAGCCGCAATACATTAATACCCGACAATTTTATTTTTTACATTAATTATATTTTTGTTGAGTAGAGTATNAGCGGTTTGCTCCTGTATACAATAATTTTTTTAACAATAGAGTCATCTATCTAACTGCATTCGGGAGGAAGTCCTTGAATGGAAATAACGTGACTTTCAATTTGCATCCAAAGTTCATATATAGTTATTTGGGTATGCTGCTCCTAAGGTATTTATTTGTTGGCTTTCTTGTATATAACTCCGTTCTTGAGATTGAAAAAAGACACACTTATAGTCTGACAGACAATAGTGAAAATTTATAAGTCGACAATTTTTTTTTCAAGTTGCAGCCCAATTATCCAGCATAAAGCGAGTACATTATATAGTTGATCCTGATGCTTTGCCTAAAAAATTCTCTGACGCGTTTCTTTTTAAACACACTGAATATCTATTGTGTTTTTATATTTACAAATATCTAGTTTTTGCTATAAAATTATATTCTAAATATACGTTAAAATCTTGTTATATAATATTTGAATTAACCTAGTTTAATAATTACTCTGTTTTCATTTATATTTTAGTTTCTGATTCTTCAAGTGATGTCGAAGACACAAGTCATACTAACTCTGCCCATTTCGATCAGGATAATGCAGGAAATTTCACCAAACATACTGATATTACTGAAATTATCGAACCAGAAATACTCTCGAATAGAAATCGAGAAAGAAAAATCGACGAAATTTCTGATATTTCCGATGACGAAGGATTTTCTTCTAACGTAAGCTGATAGATTATATTAATACTAAATAATTCTTACATCTTTTTAAAGTCTATCATCGAAAAATAAATTAGGGTAATGTATTATTGAAACAGGATGCAAGTTATTTATTTATTATTAAATAAATTTTATGCCAATTAATTAAAAAATATTTTGGTATTTGAATATTGTTTTTAACAGAAATCAGAATCACTTTCTACTTTCCATGTTTTTATTAAACATACAATACAATTTTTAATACATTAATTTGCAATAAAATTGCTGAATATAGATTTAACATTTTTTAAGTAAATTCGAAATTTATAAATATTTATTTTTCGTTATTTTACAGAATTTCGACGAGCGTAAGAATGAAGATTTTGATTATTCTGCGGAACAATTCACGGAAACAGTGGACGACATTTACATTCACAGACCGTTAAAATGGGCTTTTATAAATTTTGAAAGATTTTCTCTTGTAAATGAAATCATTTATGAAGAAGACGAGTTCGAATCCGAAAATGCATCATCAGAAGACGATGATTCCATTCACACAGAAAGCGAATTAAGAAACAGTGAACATTCCGATGATGTCATCGACTCAGTTAACGAAATTCAACAAATAAATGTTAAAAGTGAAGTGTCGTCAATATCTTCCACGAAAGATGATATTCAGGAAGAAAACTTTGTTTATAATATGAATACGACATCACTACAAGTCATTCAATCCACTAAAAGTGAAGAATCTGAGAAAGGTAAGATTACAATTATTCAAAATACACTACTAGCCAA